CAATTCTTGATTGACACCTGCAAATTCAAATGACTTGAAACTCCTGATGTAAACCAAGATAGGTCCAATCTTTGTTTGTGTGAAATACCAATAAAATTCAATGTATTCTGTACGCAGGAATGGTGTCTAAATTTGATGCTTATTTTAGTGACATTTTTCGGGATTTTGGGCAAAAAAACGGGGTGGGGTGTTGTAACTCCTAAGGGAAAAATCACAAAGCCGGCCCAGTTTGTCTTTTAGAGTTGTTGGGTGGTACCTTAATTCTGGCAAAGTTTCATCTAAAAAGGAGAGATGGCATGTATCACCCCTGCCTGGTCCTATGGTAAACTGGGTCTTAATATTCGCACCTTGAGAGAACAGAAGTTAAAGTTATACTCGACCCCAGGGCTACTCAACCATGTGACCCAATGAAACGTAGGTTATGGGAAAGAGAATTAGTTAAAGCTTTCCGGTATACCTAGCGCATGCTTGATTTCCGGTGTTGGTCCTATTGTTGTTAGCCAATCACAAGAAAGACTGACAAGACAGGCGTCTGGGAATTTACGTTAAAGAGCTCGCTCAATTTGGCATTCAAAATAATATGGTAATTAATTCTGGCTGGATCTTCAGGGCTTGGACCGTGTAAACTTAAAATTGGGAAATCGGCAGAGTTAATAATCGCTGGATTTCACAGAAAATGGTAAGTTGCAAACGTTCAGATGTAATCAGCTGCCATCAGTGTGTTGCGAATTTAACAGAATAGTAACACCAAAATTATGCATTAATATTTGGTCTTGATTACGTTGAAGTTGTCTTCCTGTCGTTTAGAAGAAAGCGAAAAATTAAAGTTAATTGTGGAAGGATTAAAGCGCAAGGCCAGCCAGCTTTAGGTTTATTCGTATTAGTTTGTTTCGAATAACCCTTTTTACTCGCATCAACAACGAAAACTGAACAAAACCATCTCTCTATAACGATTTCATGGCGTTTTGGTGTGAAATGAGAAGTCCCTTTTAAGCACTTCAACAAAGCTTCGAAATAGACTTTTAGCATCGTCTTTTAGCGGCAATAATTTGCAAATATGTCGACGGTCACATTTCCGAGGAGTCGGTAATTTATATTTTACCATTTTAGAAGTTACCTTGGTTTTAGTAAACAACGCTTGCCACCTGCTGAAAGACGAAGTGAGACGCCAGATTTGAGCGTTAAAATTAGTGCATGCAAAGCATGAAAGCATGGCTCTTGAAGAAACCGATTCTATCAAATACTATTCTGATTACTATTTTGAGAGATTCTGTCAGATTTCGCCTAATTTCATGGGTTACTTGTTCGGGCAAGAATATTTGAATTTCATTTCTGGGCGCATTGCTTATGAATGTTGAAAAACTGAATATCAGCACGTTTGTACCTATTTGGCATTTCACAGTCTCATTAAGTTTCAAACGAGCTTGTTGTTAATAATTAATGATCTTAACAGGTTGCTAAATTCAGTGTTGATACTGACGGTAGCTTATAGATTTGCTGATAGGAAAGCATGTCTTCTAGACTAAATTTATATTTATGGCAGTATTCTAATAGTATACTAAAAAAAATGCGGTAATCTGATTGGCTGAGCTATCGCGCACTATCAGCCATTCGTGTACTGTGGTTGAAGGTTGTCCACATAATGGCAACGTTTTCTCGTTTCTCCGACGTTTCGAGGAAGATTTAAAAATATTACTGGATAACTTAAGTCCGAAGGGCACTTAGAAAAAGGAAATTGACCGTTACGCGACTTTAAAGGTTCAAAAACATATTGCGATAAATGGCTAGCACTCTTACTCATATTAATCAGACGTATTCCTGTTAGAAATCAATTCAAATTGCTTTGATTACGTGATAAACTGACCCTCCTCTTTTATAAACAAAACTGTCTTTTAGGATCTTTAATGTTCATCCTTTCATATTAGGCTTTATAAATGGGATTCGCCTTTAATTGCTTCTATTCTATAAAAGCCATTCTGTAAAAACATTTTTCAGTGAAATTGCACCTGACTAAAAGTTCTAAAACGGTTTAGCTACGAAAGTCGGAAAGCTGATATTTGAAAGCTCATTATATGAAGCTTGCAATAATCCCACAGTGCAACGACTACATGCAGGCCACCTGCTTGTTTTCAACCAATTAGAGCACGGTTTCAGACCATTTAGAGAATCTGAGTTTGTTTCTGATCTTATCAGTCATGTTGCAGCACCGCGAAGACTAGTCGTTGGAAGACACAATTTTGATCGATTGCCAATTACATTCAAATTTCGTCGACTTTAACAGCACAACAAACGCCCGACAAAAATAATTTTTACTTCAGCGCAGACAACTTGAATGCCGGATAATCGTCTAGGATAGACTCAGCTGAGTTCAGAATTACTATATCCCAAGGCTGAAAATAATTTTTCTCGCTGAGTCATGATGCGGAGTTGTCCTGTTGTTGCTGTCCGTATAATATCTACCACTGGGTTAGGATTTATTTTTTGCTTTGGACTTAAGATGTTCACACTGTGTTCGCAAACATCTAATCGCTAGACTCTACAGAGCTTTGTCCATGCTGGGTCGCGCTGGTAATTTCAAAAAAATTATTTTCGTCGCCACGTGCAAAGTGTTAGAGTTATTTTGTTGCTCGAAGTTGTTTTTGTCACTGGATCGGACTTCTCAGTAGAGATGAAAATAATTTGTTTATCATTTTGTCGCTGAACGCCGAACAGTTGTCTTCTACCCGCTGGTTTCAAATAAAAACAAACATTATATGCAGCACATATAATGTCATTTTATATCGAGCCATTTTCTTGACTGTTGGTAATAGACGTCAAGGTTATTTGGGTGGAGCAGGAATGGCAGATTACTTAGGAACCTCCAATCAGATGAAAGTGGGCGAGCGCACTGATATTATTTAGATCGCGTGCACTGTTAATTTCGGCCTCCTCGCCATTCAACGGCAACGCCAGGCTTAACAGAACTTTCAGGTTTCCCTCCACCTCCCTTGCTCTAGCCAAATACCTTGTGAGTTGATTGTCCATGTGGCGGTTTTTTCGCGCCCCACCTTTGCTGAAGATATCATCAAATGCTTGTTATTTTAAGATAGGATATTTGAGAAAAATAAACGTCACGCTAGTGGCCTTATTTACGCCAGAAAGTTGTTTGCTCACGGTGTTTGCTTAACTTATTAAACGTGCTTCAGCAAACGAGCACGACGAGAGCAGTCCCCAAACCCTTCCGAGGAGTAAAATGGAACGAGATAAAATATACTTTTGTCGCTTGTTTGTCGCGGGTGCTGTTGAAATCAACGAAATTTGAAGGTATCATTTTAGCAGACAATTAAAATCGTCTGTTCGAACGGCTAACAACCTCACTGCTAGCACACGATTGGTGAGATCACAAATAAAGTCAGAGTCTGTGATTGGTTGAAAATTCCCAGCTGGTCCCGGTTGAAGTCGTTGCACTGAAATCCATTGAGCGCGTGACTAGTCATGTGTCAAACTGGCATTCAAAGAAAATTTTAATCGTCAGAATAATAACGGCACAGAAAATGCACCAAGTCTTATGAAGCACGTGCAAAGCCATTTTGATGTTCTTGGGGCCCTTCCAGTTAACCAAGGGTCTGTATGAGGGTGAACTCAATTGGTCAAAATTCAATTGATAGCTGGGATGGTAACTAACGGCTAAGATATACCGAAAATTTAACTGATAACTGAGATTCCAGCGTGCTCACCCAGCACGCTCTTAGCAGCTTTTTTAAATTTCGTCATACTCGGGAACCTGTTCCACTACTGATCTACTTCCTCCTGTTGGTTTGCTTTTGGCAACGTTCGATTATAACTCGATTTTTACGGACAAAAGATGTTAATATTTCATTCCGATTAGCTGGGACGCTTTACCTATTACATCTTCCCCTCACTTCTTCTTTACTAGAAAGTGAATTGAATTGTCGTTAGAGTTTGGAAAGGTACCATGAAACAAATGTGTAAAAGTTATTTAAGATGATAATTTACGAGAAATGAGTTGCCTTGATATTTTTTAAAGCCTAAAGATTACTATTTAGCGTATAGCTGGTAAGTAGTAAATTTACCAGCTTAGTCATCATCTCTCCATTTTTCCTTCCCTTTAAACACAGGAAGGGTTATCTGAAGAGCAAATAGAAGGTACGTTTTCAATTAGTCTTCTTGTGTCACAAATTCAATGTCCTACGCCTCTTAAAATTAGGAGGATTTCGTTCGGCAACCACGGTGAGCAGAGAGGAATCAAAAGGAGGGGCACTATATTGATAACTTTTTGAGTTTTGAAGTAACTAGTCTGAAACTTTGCTATGATAAACAGGTACATGCTGAACTCGTCATTCTCAAAATTTCAATGTTGTTTTAATGGTTTTTGAGATTTTGGCATTTTTCAGGAAAAAAAAATGGCGTTTAAAAATTGGCATCAAGATTGTTTTTAGTAAAATGGGAGATCTGTTGAACGTAATAATTTCTGAATGGATTTGCCACACACCAGAACTTTATAACTTGATTTTGGTTCCGTCAGAAATAAAATAAAAAAAAACATTTTGTAAAAAATACAAAATACATGCTTAGAAGCTATGATCCCTGTTTAAATAAACTCCACGTACCTATAGTAAAAATGTCCAGAACATCATTATTATGATAAAATTTTCAAAAAACGACATATATCTATATGTTTCAGTAGTGATATACATTCTAAGTAAATCATTTTGCCTTTTGAATAAACGACTTACAGTAAAATAGTGCTCTTACAACCAAATCTTGTTTTTTAGAATACCGAGATGCCTTCTACATGTTTGATCGAGATAACAATGGATATATTACCACAAAAGAACTGAATAGAATAATGAAAACTTTGGGTTTTAACCCGACAGAAGAAGACTTACAACAAATGATTTTCACTGTGGATTATGATGGTGAGCAGAGTATGTCTTTAGCGGCGTTATTAAATGGAGGACATTACATGGCCCCACGAGTGTTGAAAAATATTTCACGAGTGGACAAAGCGGACGAGTGAAATATCTTTCAACACGAGAGGAGAATGTTTTTTTATCTCCAAGCGGCCATGTTATGTTCTATTTATTATATAAATACCAAACACTTCACTTTCGCTGCGAAAGGCGCGATCTGTTGGGGTCGATTGTCAGTGGTTGAGAGAAGATAACGTGTTATTTTCATTGTGAAGATATGTATGTTTTCGCGCGAAAGCTCGCCTGGTATTTTTTTGGTGTCATATAAAATATCTAAACTCTTCTGAGGTTCTGTTACAGTTCTACGAATTTAAGGAGTTTACCCCTGCATCGATCAAACGTTCAGTAGCATGTCTGGCGTGACTTTGATTTTCTTGATGTTATGACAAATTTGTTTTAATATAATTGTTCAAAACAGTTTCTACCACATTGGGTCACTATTACCACTCTTTATCAGTTCATGCTACAATTACGGTATCAAAAAAACTGTCCAATCTTTGATGAACACGTTGGTATCATTTCGTGGTTCTGAACCTCATGCATGCATGTACAGAAGTTTTTAAAACTTTTCCAAAAAGCTGCATCTTTTTTGTACTGGACATTTCAGTGTGACTTGAAGCACCTGTCTAAATTCGTACAGTCTAAGTATCTTGAGAAATGTATACCTGTTTTGCCGTTTATTTTTACCATAAGAGATAAATCGCACAAAACGTTCTTTTAGATTTGTATTGATAAGACGCGACTTCCATGGAGTAGTCCCTAAAATTTATTGTTGTCCCTTTCGATGCAGGGGATGGAAGGTTGAACCTTGAGGAGTATATACAACTCATGGAACAGCAGAAAACACCTGAAGATACTGAAGATGATATCGTTCAAGCTTTTCGCGTTTTCGACTCCGATAACAAAGGATATATCGAATCTGCTGAGCTAAGAGAGCTGCTGGAAAGCATGGATTGGAAAGTTTCTGCAGACGAGTTAAAAGACCTGATTACAAGCGCCAACCTACACCAGGACAGAAGGATAGGAATGGAAGGTACAAAGCCACTCACAAGCATATCATCCACTCAGATATCATTATATCTCTGTAAATTTTTGTTAGAACTGAGTAAACAATAGCCTCAATTTGGCACGAAAATATGCCAAGATATTTGACCGCGGAACTTACCCGAGAAGCGTTTTCACAGAGTGACGTTCGAGGAAGACTGTGAGCTTCGAGGAACAGATAATGTCCAAGGACAAATATTCGAGCATATTTTCAAAGTCAAATACAGGTCATATTGTTAATTAATCTTCAAATATTTTTCGAAACACAAGGGATTTAAAAATTGAGGAATAACACCCGGATATTCCCCAGTTTCAGCTGGGGCATATTCAGTCAGGTGACGAGTTTTGACCAGTCGCATGCGAGCGAAATTATTTGATGGATTAACAGATATGTTAAAGACGACTTTTGATTAAAGACGATAGCGGAAAAATTTCGTTGATGTCATTGGGAACGTCTGGCATCCTGCAGTTTGAAATAAGCCTTTTTGTAGATTATTGCTTAGTTACTACACCTTTGAACAGTGATGAGATGGTAGAGTTGACTTTGTTAGAATACAAACCTTACTACCGTTTACAAATCTAAATTAGCCTGTTATTATACTAACTGTTATTAATCGCTATCATCACAAGGCCAACCCAAACCTCGCTTGAATACAGAGACTGGGCTACATTTTACAGAACCGTAAATATGATGGTCTACTCAAAACAACAAATAAGGTCATCAGAAAGAACATATGAAATATATTAATCGTGCAAAGTTTAATAACGAAACGAGTGAAAAACTTAATTGTTAAAGGGAAGTCTATATTTACTGATGTGAATTGTGAATACAGTTAAGGATCCCGAGTAAGAATCTACATTTTTTTGAAGTCTGGTAAAATAGGTTCTTGTATTTTGAGTTAGTTATTGGCAGTTAGTAGGTTCTTAATTAGCTTCTTAATTTCTATGAAGGAGACATAGTTTTAATTGATTACCAGAAAGAATAAATCAAAGTTGGGTTTGGTCCTTGAATATACAGCATTTATTCACAGCTGTATTATGTATTTTCTTGTAAATATAAATTTGAAATTTCAAAGTCACACTACTTGGTTAAAATGTTTGTCATAATTGACTGTAACCCACATATAAAAACCTGCTTGATCTTTTTGGGCTCAACAGGTTCTTAAATTTTTGGGTATTAAAATGTCAATTTTCTGCCAGATGGTTCTTAAACCTCTAAGTTCTTGCACGAGGTTTTTTTCTGTACCTTACACAGCAATTCTTGGTACTCAAAACGTGATTTAAAAAAAACCTTGTTAAATTTGGAACTTTAATTTCGTTGTATTCTCATTACGTTACAGAATTCGCCTGGCTTGTGGAGCCTGAAGGCATGCCAGCGGTTGAACAAGAGGCTGATGGAGGCAATGATGAGTAAACTGACTGATGTCAGCCCATCGGCAAGAAAATCACGTCTTTAATTGCAAGAATATCTGAATTGTTGATCATGATTTATCGTCGTTCCACTGGCATAATGATTATAATCATCAACATCATTAAAGAAAACTTCATCATGTCATTATGAATTGAAACAGCAGGAAACAACACTGGAGAGAAATCATTATTATTGTCATCATTTTAAAGAAATCATTATCGTTATTACATCACCACCATCATTGCCATCGTAAAGATGTGAATGCGAGGACGAAGACAGCCATCAGAATTCATTAGTTCCGCTGTTTATCTCAATCATGCTTCAACAGCATTTTCTGTAGTAAGAATATAACAAGGAGAACTCAGTGATTCTGGCACTTTTGAATTTGACAATAACCCAATATAGTATACCATCTATTAACAGAGTTACATCGCAACATAGTAGGTTCGCCACTCTATTGATTTACAAAAGTTCTTTCCAGTCGATAAAATAAAAGCGGAAATAATTTACAAAATATATATCTCCACTAACAAACTGAGAATGAACAAAAGTTAAGGTATCAGTATACCCCAAATGACTAAAAATCATTAAAATGTTGGGGATAACTCAGGCAAATTTTGAACTAACGAAAAACATGTCTTAACTTTTTTGTAAACTTTTAATGTACGTCTTTTAAACGTTTCACTGCATTTATAGAGACCTAACCTCGCAGCACCCCAAGGCAGATTAAAATTGTTTTTGTATTAATTTGGTCTTAATCCTTTAGCGTAAAAGCCTGTGAATGAAATATAATGACACCTTTTAAAGTTGAACAGCGAGGAAAATAACATTACATATATAATTAAGTAGGCTAAGAAAACAATGCAAAGGCAATTTTGCATTGTCAGGATGGTACGAATGACTTGGAATGTTTTATTTCTATTTGAACAAGTTGCAGTAAAAAACCCGCGTGTAAGACCCTACATTTTTTGAAGTCTTGCAAAATAGCTTCTTGTATTTTGGGGTAATTCAGGTTAAGCAGGTTCTTAATTAGGTTCTTAATTTTTATGAAGGAGATATAATTGATGATTACCAGAAAAATAAATATACATGGGTTTGGCCTCAAATATACAGTATTTATTCACAACTGTATCATGATAAGCCTAGCACAACTGGTTACATAATGTATACGTACGTAGTGTTGCTTTATAACAATAGTTCATAATTTAACTCTGTAACTAACATATAAGAACCTGCTTGATCTTGCCTGGCAATAGTTAATAGAGGGAAATGGTTATGAAACCCGACAAATATCTTTGTTTTAGGTATCTGTTCTCTTTTTTGGCCTTGACCGTGCACAAAACGCAATAGTTTTAGTTACGTAATTCATGCATAGTGTATGAGCGAAAAACAAAAGATTGTGCACGGTCGTGGACCCAGCTTCCAAAATAAATCTTGGCATCATTGTCTGCTCCTTTGATGTTTGCCGGGCTTCATCACCATTTCCCTCTAAAAACTATGGCTTGGCTAAACAGGTTCCTATATTTTTGGGTATTAAAATGGGAAATTTCTGCCAGAAGGTTCTGGCACTAGATTCTTACACACGGGTTTTCACTTTATATTTTCTGGAAGGCTTCAAATTTAAATTTTTTTGTAAATTGTGCATAGAAAACGTAACGACGGTTTATATATCACCTTTCGATGTGAATTTTTACAATAACTGTCTAATTTCTCGCGGGCTGATTGGCTCATTTTTATCATCAATGCATGTACACACGGATAAATTTTAATTTATACAAGCTTTCAACAGTTCAACTTTCAGTTGTCGAACTGTCAACTTTTCAACCAATTGGATTTTATTGACTTTTCTAAGTAGCCAATCAAAAAGCGAGAAAAGCTATTGACAATGTCGTCACAATGCGTCATTTTGAATAAAATTCACTTATCTTCGTTTACTGCGAAACCACTCGCCTGCGGCTTGTGGTTCCACAGCCACTTTGACAATGTTTTGACGCAATTTGCCATCAGTAAGAGGACAGAAGCAAAAAAATCTGACGTCAATTTGTTAAATTTGCGGAGATTTAAGTTTAAAAGTGAGTTTTTTTCCTAATGCCATTGTTAAAATATAAAATAAATACAAAATGAATTTTGCTCGATGATATTAATAATTTTGACAAATCAATAAGTGGAGTGACATATCTTAAAAAAAAAACATTAACCTCTAACCAACCGAGTGCGAGGGCCGCACTGGGGAATATTGGTCCGTGGTCGAAGA